GCAAAATAGAAAGGTAAATGAAAAGGTATTAATGGACTCACCTTGTTTCCAGAGCTGACCAGTCTCAGGCCGGCTTGCCCCGACTGAGCCCTGAGCTCCCAAACTGTTTACAGAAAGTCCATGAGCTGGAGGAGAAATTAGAATAAAAAGATGAATGAGCCTAAACTTTAATCAGTGGGAGACACAGAGTTATACAGTAATCATTTGTGTCAGCCTCTCGCACAAAGTTCATCAAGGGATTGTTTTATTATTTATTTATTTATTTATTTCAGGTACTTATATAGCACTGTCAATTTACGCAGCACTTTACATATATATTGTACAATCACATCAGTCCCTAACCCTCAAGGGGCGTACAATCTAAGGTCCCTAACTCACATTCATACATACACATATTAGGGCCAATTTAGACAGGATCCAATTAACCTACCAGCATGTCTTTGGAGTGTGGGAGGAAACCAGAGCACCCGGAGGAAACCCACACAAGCACAGGGAGAACATGCAAACTCCATGCAGGAGGCGCATTGGTCGGGAATCGAACCCATGACTCATTTACTGCAAGGAAGATGTGCTAACCACTAAGCCACTGTGCCGCCCTTGTTTAGGGTCTATTGACTTACCAAAAATGTAACCAATAATGTAAGAGGACATTCTTCCTCCAACTTTCTACCAATGTAAGTGGTCCCCTGTCCCACTTATCCTAAATGAAAAGGAGCCGTCTCCACTGGCCACCATTGTGTGAAAGGCCATCTCCACGGGCCGCCAATGTGAGGGGCGCATTCTCCACTGGCCGCCAAAGTGAGGGGCGCCTTCTCCACTGGCCGCCAAAGTGAGGGGCGCCTTTACACTGGCCACCACTGTATGAAAGGCAATCTCCACTGGCCACCAATGTGAGGGGCGCCTTCTCCACTGTCCGCCAAAGTGAGGGGCGCCTTTATACTGGCCACCACTGTATGAAAGGCAATCTCCACTGGCCACCAATGTGAGGGGCGCCTTCTCCACTGTCCGCCAAAGTGAGGGGCGCCTTTACACTGGCCACCACTGTATGAAAGGCAATCTCCACTGGCCACCAATGTGAGGGGCGCCTTCTCCACTGTCCGCCAAAGTGAGGGGCGCCTTTATACTGGCCACCACTGTATGAAAGGCAATCTCCACTGGCCACCAATGTGAGGGGCGCCTTCTCCACTGTCCGCCAAAGTGAGGGGCGCCTTTACACTGGCCACCACTTTATGAAAGGCAATCTCCACTGGCCACCAATGTGAGGGGCGCCTTCTCCACTGTCCGCCAAAGTGAGGGGCGCCTTTACACTGGCCACCACTGTATGAAAGGCAATCTCCACTGGCCACCAATGTGAGGGGCGCCTTCTCCACTGTCCACCAAAGTGAGGGGCGCCTTTACACTGCCACCACTGTATGAAAGGCAATCTCCACTGGCCGCCAATGTGAGGGGCGCCTTCTCAACTGGCCGCCAAAGTGAGGGGCGCCTTCTCTACTGGACGCCAATCTGAGGGGGCGCCTTCTCCACTGGACGCCAATCTGAGGGGCGCCTTCTCCACTGGACGCCAATCTGAGGGGCGCCTTCTCCACTGGACGCCAATCTGAGGGGCGCCTTCTCCACTGGACACCAATCTGAGGGGCGCCTTCTCCACTGAGCATAGGTGTTTTAAAGATGATCTAAAACCTGAATACCTTTTTTAAAAGTTCCACAGGGTTGAAAAGGTTGGGAAAGGCTGCTCGAGGTGCTATAGGCTGGTTAATTCCAAGATATAGGGATCCTATCAATCCACTCAAAGGAGGAAGCCACTGCTTGGGTATTCTAACAACTGCATTTACCAGCTGTCAGTACAAGAAAGTGGCAGCAGAAGATTCCTCCATCCACACAGATTAGCAGGAGTTTTAACTCAGGAAGAACTTGCTGCACATTTGTTCAGCCCAGGGGCGGACTGACCATTTGAGCACTGCCCGAGGGCCCAGGGTCAGTAGGGGTCCCCATGAGATGCCCTGGTACCTTTTATTGTCTTTTTCATAGGCTTTTTTGGGTGTGGGCAAGGACACAGGGGCCCCATGATCCCCTATTGCCCGGGGGCCCCATGAGTTGTCAGTCTGCCCCTGGGTTTAGACCCGTGACTGTATTGCAGCTAGAGATGGCCAGGCAACTTGCACGTTCAGAAAAAAGAAAGTAATGGCAGTCCCCTACATTTCTCTTGGCATTGTCCCTTATTTGAGTATGCAACTATTTTGTTGTTTTTCTGTATTGCTACATTTCTCTACATAGGACAACAATGTGATTTTACAGGGACTCACATACTGGCCCTGATTTAGAAGTTTCAAGCAGAACTTAAGTCATGCTAAAGTTGCCTCTCAGTCATAATTATCATATTACATCAACCTAAGTAAGCTGGTAGCAAAAAAATAAATAAAATATATAATAATAAATATATCTCAAAAGAAACGAGGATACATAATCAAAAATGCAATATTCTTTATTTCAAAGAAGCATCTTCATACACTTTACAATCGTTATGGCATATAGCGACTGCACAATTTCAAGCATCCCTGCTCTTCGCTTGAAACTGTAGTCGCTATATGCCATATGGATTGTAATGTGTATGAAGCTAAAAAGACTATTGCATTGGAGTATGTATCCTCATTTCTTTTTATGTTTACATTGGTGGATGACTAGGAGGCCACCATTGATAATATCTCCTTTTATTGGACTTGGATTGAGACATTTAAAAACACACATACACGCACCTTATGACCAGCCACCTAATATTGAGTAGGTCCCCCTTTACCACCAAGCAGCCCCATAGCACACCACTAGACCTCAGAAGGCATGATGTAGTGTCCGGTCAAACCGGATGCCTAATTGGATTGAGATCTGGAGAATTTTGAAGCCAAGTCAACGCCGCAAACACGTTGTTATAATCCTCAAACCATAATTGAACTATTTTTGGTGTGGCTGGGAGCATTATCCTGCTGAAAGAGGCCACTGCCATCAGTGAATACTATTTCCATGAAGGGGTGTACTTGGTCAGCAACAATGTTTAGGTAGGTGGTACGTGTCGAGTAACATTCACATGAATAGCAGGACCTAAGCCTTCCCAGCAGAGCATTGTCCAAAGCATCACACTACCTCTGCTGGCTTGCCTTCTTCCCTTAAAGCAGTGGTTCTCAACCTGTGGGTCGCGACCCCTTTGGGGGTCAAACGACCCTTTCACAGGGGTCCCCTAAGACCATCAGAAAACACATATTTCCGATGTCTAAAGAGCAGCTACTGTGTAGAAAGCAGCTGCTGTGTTTGAAAGCAGCTACTCTGTTAAAAGCAGCTACTGTGTTGAAAGCAGCAGTATTGGAGGTAAAACGACACTCATGAATTATAATTGATGGGTAAATAATTTTATGGTTGGGGGTCACCACAACATGAGGAACTGTATTAAAGGGTCACGGCATTAGGAAGGTTGAGAACCACTGCCTTAAAGTATCTCGGTGTCATCTCTTTCTCGTTCCTAACCCCAGAAACCACTAAACAGCTCATCCACTCCCTCATCATATCACGACTCGACTACTGCAACTCTCTCCTCACTGGCCTGCCTCGCCGCTGGCTATCCCCGCTTCAGTCGATCCTGAATACGGCTGCCAGACTCATTCACCTTTCCAACCGCTCTGTTTCCGCCACCCCCCTCTGCCAATCCCTCCACTGGCTTCTGATTGCACAACGGATCAAATTTAAAATCCTAACACTGACGTACAAAGCTGTCCACCATACTGCCCCGTAATACATCACTGACCTAATATCCAAGTACCGCCCAGCACGCACACTCCGCTCCTCACAAGACCTCCTTCTCTCTAGTTCCCTGGTCTCCTCCTCCCATGCCCGCCTCCAGGACTTCTCCAGGGTGTCACCCATCCTCTGGAACTCCCTTCCCCAACCCATCAGATTATCACCTACTCTCCTCTCCTTTAGGCGCACCCTGAAAACCCACTCTTCAGGGAAGCCTACCCCACCCCCTGCTAACTTGCCGACCTCCTCCACTCTTCCTACCACTCCATCCCCCACAGCTATCTCCTCCTGTGCCACCATCCCCTCCCTCTTAGATTGTAAGCTCGAAAGAGCAGGGCCCTCAATCCCCTCATGTTTTGCATTGTATTGGTATTGTTCTGTCACATGTTCTGTCCCCCTTTGTAATGTACAGCGCTGAGCGAACTATTGCTGCTTTATAAATACTGTATAATAATAATAATAATAATAATAATAATCTCTTCCCCAGGTAAAGGAGGCACATGCACCCACATGATGTAAAAGAAAATGTGGTTCATCCAACCAGCCACCTTCTTCCATTGCTCGGTGGTCCAGTTCTGATGCTCACATGCTCATTGTAGGCGCTTTTGGCTGTGGACAAGGGTTAGCATGGGCACCCTGACCGGTCTGTGGCTACACAGCCCCCATACACAACACACTGTGATGCCCATTTTTTCAGCTTTCAACACATCAACTTTATGGACACCATGTATACTTGCTGCCTAAAATATCCCACTGACATTCAGATGCCTTTGTAATGAGATATTCAATGTTATTCATTTAACCGGTCAGTGGTCATAATGTTACGGCTGATTAAAATATATATCTCCATTCAGTTGTATCCAACTCTTTGCGATTCTATGGTCCAGCTCTCTGATTACCATATCGGATAGACTTCAGAGCATTTTCCAAATTTTTAATGAGGTAGGTGGCCAGGCCTTTCCTCAACTTTCTCCTGTTTCTCACTGGCTGTCAATCACAGCCAGTGAGAAAAGACAGGGGGCGGGGGCCGAGCTGCAGCTCCATGTGTGAATGGACACAGGGCGCAGGGGCTGGGGAGTGCACATGCTCGGGTGCCCCCATAGCAAGCTGCTTGCTGTGGGGGCACCTGACAGTAGGATTGGGGCTGCTCTGTGCAAAACCACTGCACAAAGCAGGCAAGTATAACATGTTTGTTATTTTTTTTTTTAATTTAAAGCGGAACTCCACCCAAAAGGGGATGTTCCGCTTTAAGGACTGCTCCCCTGCTCTCCATTAAGGATTGGCACCTTTGGGGGGCGGGGGGGAGTGGGTACCCAAATTTGACAGGTACCCACTCCCACTTCTGGTCCAATCGCCTAGGCAATCGGAAGGTGTCCTCCCTCCCTCCCTGTAGTCTTGGGTGGGACACGTGACAGGTCACAGAAGACTACAGGACCATTCATGAAGCGCATCGCTACTCGCGCATGCGCAGTGGGTACCTGGCTGTAAAGCCGCAAGCTATCACAGCCGGGTGCCCACACTGAAGATGCCGGCCTCCTGGAATACAGGGCGGCCAGTGAAACGGTCTGCAGGGGACACTGTAGTACTTGTGGGGGGTGATGATGATTTTTTTTTTTTTGTACACTGATTGCTTCTACACCCATAAAGGCTATAAAAACAATCATTTCTCCTTCTCTCTGGCTGCATTCTTGCAGCCATTGAGAAATACTGTGTGAGCTGTGATTGGTCACAGCTTGTCACATGGTACAAGGCTTTTGTGAATAGCCTTGTACCATGTGACCTCTGTGATCATTCACAGATTTCACACGTAGTAAGCAATGATGTCAGAAGTGACATCTTGTTTACTACTCTGCATGTGATCACTGATTGGCCAATCAGTGATGACATGATCGGGACCTCGCACAGAGGTCCCGTACGACGATTGGTATTCCACTGTGTCTGGGGGACACAGCGGGCACCGGATCGCGGGGAGCGCGCACAGTCCATAATGGCGGGTGATGTTTATGAACGGCAACCCGCCCCTGGAGTGCCACTGTCCTGCCGTTTATAAACAGCGGCCGGACGGCGAGTGGTTAAAGCAACAGTGTAAAAATAAATAAAAAATTAAAATAAAAGTGCCTCCTTGTGTGCGCACGCATTGGTCCCGCATGCGCCCAGTGATCACCCCACATGTGAGGTATCACCACAAACGTCAGATCATGGCCAGTAATTCTAGCACCAGACCGCCTCTGTAAATCTGCATAGCGGTAACCTGTAAAGGCTTTTAAAGCGCCCCCTATGGATAGTAAAATTTACGTTGTTTGTCGCTGTTGCACGGGCATGCACAATTTTAGGGCGTGACATATTTGGTATCTATTTACGCAGCATAACATCTTTTACAAAAAACTGGATTACCAATTTACCAGCCAACACACATACTATGCACTGTGGGGATCTGCCTTCCCGATAAAGCTGCAGGTGCGGATCGTTGTGCATTGAGATCAGCCCATTCATTTTAACACAACAGACAAAGAGGCGCTAAGGCTGGCCATAGATTATCCAATTTTCTTGAAATTTTTGGTTTAGATTTACCAAAAACCATATAATATGAGGGCAAACCTAACAACACTTTCAATTGTATCCAATTAGCCAGGCTCTTGCACTACATAGTTGAAGGTAAATCTAAAGGAAATTGGGCAGAAATTGGATAGAAAATTGTATAGTGTATGGCCAGCCTAATTCAAGGGTGTAGGGGTTTTAGGAAATGACAGCCCACCCAGCTTGACATCTACCTATACAGGGGTGTCCTTGTGTTCTTTTAGCTATTCTGGATGGGAAAATGTACAGTTGGTTCAAGGCTGTTGCCCTTTAGGGCTCACTCACACTTGCAATTAGGGCCAGGCAGCGGATTCCTGCGTCAAAAAAAAAAAAAACAAATCAGCAAATTCCAGAAGCAGAAGTCACTGGTGTATACAGTTTCAGACAGGAAACCTGTACAATACAATGACAGGCTGACAGTGGCCGTGGCTGTCTACCACTGTTCGCATGTATTGACACATCCAATAGTTAGCTGCAGTTAGGGACAGGTGATCGGACATTGGCGCAGTCAGACTGGGTCCCGGAATGGTCGTTTGTCCCTATCCACAGGTAACCATGGGATGTGCGGATACATGTGAACAGCAGAGGATGCTGTCAGCCTGTCATTGTACAGGATTCCTGCCTGAAGCTGTCGCCTGTGATTTCTGCCGCAGTAATCAGCTGTGCGGCCCTATTCATGGGTGTGAATGGGCCCTTAGGTAAAGTCGCTTTTGCACAGGCTGCACAATACACATGCAGACAGACACACGTGTGAAGGCAGACAATCCCAGACAACACAGATCTTCTGGAATGCATAGAAACTATTTGTAAGGGATATAAATAGCACATGCCTTGGCTTTATGTAAGTCTAGACATAGAGGGGGTTATTTACTAAAACTGGAGGGTGCAAAATCTGCTGCAGCTCAGCACAGCAACCAATCAGATTCCAGCTTTTATTGTCAAAGCTTAGTTGAACAAGCTGACATTAGAAGCTGATTGGCTACCATGCATGGTCGCAGCGGATTCCGAGTGCTCCAATTTTAGTAAATCTCCCCAACAGATTTTAAGGCTACGTTCACACTAGCCTGGTTTGTAAACGGCAGACAGGCGTTTGGGAAGCGTTTTTACCGTTTCCCAAGCGCCTGTGAAAATTCTGCACATTACAGCACAATGTGCTGTTCACACGGGAGCGTTAGCGGCGCGGCGCGGCAAAACGGACGCCTCTGGTTGAGTCAGGAGGAGTTGAAGCCTCCTATTCAAGTCTATGGTGCCGTTCCGCAAATGCCCGACCGGCATTTGCGGAGCGTTAACACCATTCAAACTTCATTATAGGCGTTTGTGGGGCGTTTTTAACGCAAATGCCTAGCAACCGCCTCTAAACCACGCATGCGGCGTTTGCGGAGCGTTAAAAAACACTCCGCAAACGCCGGACCAACACTTGTCAAACGCTATAGGGGCGTTTGACAAGAGTTGGAAAACAGTCAAGTGTGAACGAGCCCTAAGGCCTTGTTCACACAGGCGTACACCCATGTGAGGGCCGTGATTGGTCGAGTCAGGAGGAGTTGAAGCCTCCTATTCAAGTCTATGGTGCCACTACGCAAACGCCCGGCGTTTGCGGTGTGGTTGCGCCGCGTTTGCGGAACGTTAACACCATTCAAACTTCATTATAGGCGTTTGTGGGGCGTTTTTAACGCTTGGCAAACGCCTAGCAACCGCCAATAAACCGCGCATGCGGCGTTTGCGGAGCGTAGAAAAAAGCTCCGCAAACGCCGGACCAACACTTGTCAAATGCTATAGGGGCGTTTGACAAGAGTTGGAAAACAGTCAAGTGTGAACGAGTCCTAAGGCCTCATTCACACAGGCGTACACCCATGTGAGGGCCGTGATTTGCCTGCACAGGTGTCCCTGGTTCACGCTGATGCGGTGCGGTACATCGCATGTGATTCGCACAGGAACCGCACTGCACTCCTGTGCGAATCACATGCGATTTCTCTGCGGTGTAATTTGAACCATACATTTTGTATAGCTCAAATCACACCGCATCCACACCAAATAGTGCTGGACCCTTTTTTTGTGTCCGCACCAGAATCGGATCGCATGGGTGTCCACACCGATGCGATCCAATTCTGCGCATTGCACCGCGTTCTGCAAACCAATTTTAGGGTGTGGATACACACCTGCAGCAGTTCACATAAACGGGGTGCGATTATGATGCGGTGCAGAAATTGCAAAGACACTGGTGCAAATTCCACTCCGCATCAGTGTGAACCAGGGCTCCACGTCAATCAAAATTCAGCAACTGCATAGACACAGCCGCTGCTCCCAATCCGACATCTGCGTGGCTGCGTGTGCATAGGTGTCCCTGACCTCTCAGTGTCTGTGTTCGGGGACATGCACTACTTTTTCTGTTTCAATATTTTTATTAAGAAAGTTTTGTTTTAAGAATACAACAAGCTCAAGATACGCCCTCGAGGGGCAGAGCAGAGCAAAAACACATCAACAGATACAACCTGCTGACTTGTATTAGTCAAATAACGAAGGAGGGACGGCAAAAAGCCGAACCAGATATTAGCAGCAGTAGTCCAACATATTACTGGAAAAAGAAGAAGAGGAAAGAAAAAAGGTTAGAAGAAAGAAAAAAAAAAAAAAAAAAAAAAAAAAAAAAAGGACAAATCAGAAAGAAAACATGGAGGAAAGGGAAACTAGAAGAATCACGGATCCAGGGCTAGCACAGGCAGTGACTATAAGAGGCCATAACTAGTAGGAGGCAGGGATGGCAAGGAATAACGTAGGACACGCATTACTTTTAATCATCTGCTTACTTTTTCATTCATCTATTTGCAAATTACTGATATTGTGATTTATTCGTTAGGATATTATTGAAGTATCAGTCTATTTATTGCTCGCTGATTTGAGAGGCTGGCAGGTATTAACTGATTTTGTTTTATTGATTTACCTTTAATATTTATTCACTCATGCACTTGTGGATTTGATGGAATTTGTATTAATTCCTATTGGGTTTACTTAGCACTGAAGGTTTATCTCACATTCGGCATCTCTTTATATGTGTGTTGGATAGGCTGGTGGGTTTTTGTTTTTTTTTAAATATTTTATATTTGACTGCTTCCTGTTATTTAGCATCAGCAGCAGTGCAGCACTATTCCTTTCTTTTCATTTTTGGATGTGGGAACACATTAGGGTGCTGGCAGCAGCTCAGGATGTGTAGCAAGGATTTGGGGCAGTGCATGAGATTTTTTTTTTTTTGTTTTATTATTCTTTTTAAGTAAAACCCTGTAGCTGAGCCCTGCTTTTACTGCCCCCCCAACGGCTACCATCTGCAGAGGGCAGCAGCCAGGGTTGTACACATCTTGCGGCTATGATGCTTTATTATGCAACTGCATCAGGAATTAATTATTATTATTAAGTACTTATATAGAGCCGTCAATTTTATATATATATTGTACATTCCACCAGTCCCTAATGCTCAAGGGGTGTACAATCTAAGGTCCCTAACTTACATTCATACATACAACACATACTAGGGACAATTTAGACAGGAGCTAATTAACTTACCAGCATGTCTTTGGAGTGTGGGAGGAAACCGGAGTACCTAAAGGAAACCCACGCAGGCAAAGGGAGAACATGCAAACTCCAGGCAGGAGGTGCCGTGGCTGGGATTTGAACCAACGACCCTAGTACTGCCAGGCAGAAGTGCTAGCCACTGTTTTGCCCATAACATTATCCATAAGCAGAAGTGCTAGCCACTGTGCTGCCCATACATTATCCATATTCCCATTGCATGTATTTCTGGAAAAGGCTCTAGGACCCTGAGTGTTGCAGCAACCAATAGCTGGAGACTGGACCACGCATGACACAGATATTGGTCAGCACACTGCGGATCTTCAAGTTGAGTCCAAGTGTTTTTTTTTTTTTATTGGCAGCACAGTGGCTAAATGGTTAGCACTTCCACCTGGCAGTGCTAGGGTTGTTGGTTCAAATCCCAGCCACGGCACCACCTGCCTGGAGTTTGCATGTTCTCCCTGTGCCTGTGTGGGTTTCCTCCGGGTACTCCGGTTTCCTCCCACACTCCAAAGACATGCTGGTAGGTGAATTGTCTCCTGTCCAAATTGTCCCTAGTATGTGTATGTATGAATGTAAGTTAGGGACCTTAGATTGTACACCCCTTGAGGGTTAGGGACTGATGTGAATGTACAATATATATGTAAAGTGCTGCGTAAATTGACGGCGCTATATAAGTACCTGAAATAAATAATAAATAAGTTGGAGTATGCTCACATCACAAACAAGAGAGTGGAATGGCCCGGAGCCACGCAGGACCCCTTTGTCAGGCATGTGATGATGATCTGCATATCTACACTGTGTCATGCACGGTCCAATCTCCAGCTGGTGGTTGCTGCAGCACCCAGGATCCTAGAGCTTTTCCAGGAACGTATGCAATGGGACTATGTATACATAAATCATCACGGCTCCAATATGTGTACAACCCCGGATGCTGCCTCTGTAGAGGGTAACAGATGGGGGGCAGTAAAAGCAGGACTCAACCCCTAGTGTGGTGTACTGGCAGGAATTGTACCCCCCGTCACTTTCGCAAGGTGTAGCAACTGCTACACACAACCCATTCCAGTGAAAGGGGCTGCCCTGCAAGTGTCTGGAGACCGCATGCGATACACGTGGTTGCGGCGCACTAGTGCAGGATTGAAGAGGTTAAAGCAGCCAGTGAGGAGGTGATAAAACACCTCACCACCTGACAAATGGTCTCTAAAGAGTAACTCGAATGCAGATCGCTGTTCAGAGTCTAACACTAGTGCGAATGAACCCTTAGAGCTGGATTACACATGTGCTGAACCTCCGAAGAGTGACCTAAGGTGGATCACTTTTCAGTAGGGCATTTGACAGGCCGCGAGGAGGCGACAGGTCCTGCACCACCATGCTACTACCTAGAGCACTGCACATGGTATGCAGTGGACAGCATTACCTGCTGAACGCATGCTTGCCGTGGCATGCATATACCCTCATATGGCTGCAGATTGGGGGTGGGGGGTGTTTAAAACTTGGCTCAACCACCTGTTTTTATTGCCCCCAACCACAAATATATACTAAGCCTAGGCGCAAGCTCCCCGGCGGTGATCTCAATCCTGGCGACCTACTTTGGGGTCACCGACCAGGAACACGCGTGCGGGATGACGAGTTTAGAGGGCAGGGAGCGCGCTTCCTTTACGTCATCAATGGCGGCTCCCACGCCTCCGCTCTCACAGGTCCTCTTTATGATCCTGGCAATATTCTGCCATGCGATAAACAATTCAATGCCATGCAATAAACAATGATTACTTCCGCCAGAAATGTGCTACATGTTACCTGTGTAATGACCTTCCTGCAGCTGTGGCCCCAGCCCTGTACTATGTGGGGCCCCAGGCTCCTCCAATCCCCCCTCACCTTCCTGTCGGTGCTGGGCTCAGCCTCCCCGGGGACTTCCGCTGCACAGGCGGCTCCGCTCTGCCCCGTTGTTTTGCTGTCACCGAAACAGGAACTGGAGAAGTGGCCTATTTCCTTGTGGCGGGCACGCGCGTCCTGACTGTCAGGCGCGCCCCCGAACCAGGTTCCATAGCAACACTAGCAGCGAGCGAGAGAGCAAGCGCGCTGCGCATGCGCGTCCCTGGCCAGTCCAGGGCAGGGTGTTGTGAAGTTCCAGGAGGTGGTTCATTAAACATCAAATAAAACAAAGATGGCAGTTCAGGTTGTTTCCGGTGTAAAGCGAACCTGTCCTTAAAAACACAAAAACACCAACACGGCAGAGTATCTGGCATTGTGCCATTGGGTTCTCGCATGACAAGCTGTTTAACCACTTGACCCCCGGAGGATTTATTGCCATTTCTGACCAGGCCACTTTTTGCGATACGACGTTGCGTTCCCTTAACTGACAATTGCGCGGTCATGCAACGCTGCACCCAAATGAAATGTATGTCCTTTTTTTCCACAAATGGAGCTTTTATTTGATCACCTCTGCGGTTTTTATTTTTTGCACTATAAACAAAAGATGACAATTTTGAAAAAAAAACAAAACATTTTTTTGACTTTTTGCTATAAAACATGTTCAGTAAATAATTTAATAAATCAAATTTCTTCATATAGATAGGCCAAAATGTATTCTGCTCCATGTCTTTGCTGATTTATTTATTTCAGGTACTTATAGAGCGCCGTCGGTTTACACATATATATATATATTGTACATTCACATCAGTCCCTAACCCCCAAGGGGTGTACAATCTAAGGTCCCTAACAGGGGCGGACTGACCATTTGGAAACTCGGGCACTGCCCGAGGGCCTGGGGTCAGTAGGGGGCCCCATGAGATGCCCCTGGTACCTTTTTCATAGGCTTTTTTGAGTTTGGGCAAGGACACAGGGGCCCCATGATCCCCTATGCCCGGGGGCCGCATGAGTTGTCAGTCCGGCCCTGGTCCCTAACTTACATTCATACATACACATACTAGGGACAATTTAGACAGGAGCTAATTCACCTACCAGCATACCAGGAAACCCACACAAGCACAGGGAGAACATGCAAACTCCAGGCAGGTGGCACCGTGGTTGGGATTTGAACCAACAACCCTAGTATTTACCAAGTCCTAACCAATTAGCCACTGTGCTGCCCATACATGTCTTTCCCAATACGTGTAAATTATTTGGTTTACGTGAAAGCTATAACATCTACAAATGGCGGTATATATACTGGGACTTTTTTTTTAATACTAGTAATGGCAGCGATCAGTGACTTATAGCGGGACTGTGGCGGGAATTCTGACACTGGGGGGGGGGGGGGGGGACTAACTAACTGCCAGTGACACCAATACAGTGATCAGTGCTAATAAAAAGCACTGACACTGTACTAATGGCACTGGGTAGGAAGGAGTTAGCATCTGGGGCCATCAAAGGGTTAACTGTGTGCGGGTTTTACTAGGGAAACTGCTGCTTTGTATTTCTCTACTGTGCAGAGAAATACACAGCAGCATGATACTGCTGGCAGGAGAGAGACCTGTGTAGTTTACACACAGGTCTCTCCCCTGTCAGTGATACTCGGCGATTGCTAGGTGTCGGCGGAGAATATCCAGCTGGTGATTGACATTTGTAGCCACCAATGGCGGGGCGGTACGTTCGTGCACCTCCTACCCAGATATGCAAAATCATATATATATATACATGATTTTGCATAGCCCTGCCTCCCTGTAGCAGTACTTCTGCTATAGGGTGGTCAGGAAGCGGTTAAAGTGGTTGTAAACCTTCAAAAATACCCAGTGAAGTGATTGGCCCCAGGTGAGACCAAACAAATCCTTCTACATAAGATGTACCTGTTTATCTGCACCCTATGAAAGGACACACCGCCTTCAACAGAGCTCACAGGAAAAAAGCTGAAGGTGTCAATCTGTTGGAGATCTCTCCCTCGTCTCAGCCATTGGCTGCGAGCTCTGACCAGTGTGTTCTAGCGGGGGGCAGTCCCCATTAGAATAGCACAGCTGGGAGATCACTTTAGTAACATCGAATAGCTAGTACAGAGACTTCCCCACAAGCTGCCCAATTTTTTTTTTTTCGTTCAGCCAAGCGGGCTAAACGAAAACAAACTTACTGTGTATACCAAGCTTTAGACATAGGACAGCAGACACCATAGCCAATTGGACCGACAGACTATTTTCAGACCTCTTTAAACTCACTCTGAATTGTCTCAGATGTGAAGATTCGTCAAGCAGCTTTGCAGTACAGAAGAGCAAAGATTCCATGATCAAGGAGCGGACCAGGTGAGGATAACCTCTCTATACGTAAACACCTCTTACATGGGCAGCAGCCATCTCTATTGCCCTCTGGCAAGCAATCCGTGTGGATTTATTTTAAGAGGGAGGTAGAGAAGATGCCTCCATGTGTTCAGGAAACGATCTTCAATGTTTTTTTTTTTTTTGGACCCACCTGCAGCCTGTGACTGGACAGTGAAAAGAGAAGCAGCACAGTGATGAGCACGTGACTCTGCTATCCCCTCATCAGCACATGAACCAAAGTTAAAAGTATAACTAAAAGGAAAAACTTTTATTGCTTCTTCCTCTCACACACCTGCCCTGCTGTATAGAGACTGCAAGAGGCTGACAGCAGATCACAAGTACATCCAGTGCTTGCTTTGAAAAAGAGTTGACAGCAACAGATTCCAAATGCAAATAGCACACTTGCAATGAACTCTGGACCTGTTATCTGCTCATTGTAATTGGGATAATGAGGGAATAACACACACCTGGCCATGGAACAGCTGAGAAGCCAATTGTCCCATTACTTTTGGTCCCTTAACAAGTGGGAGGCACATATGCAAACTGTTGTAATTCCTACACCGTTCACCTGATTTGGATGTAAATACCCTGAAATTAAAGCTGACAGTCTGCAGTTAAAGCACATCTTGTTCGTTTCATTTCAAATCCATTGTGGTGGTGTATAGAGCCAAAAATGTTAGAATTGTGTCGATGTCCCAATATTTATGGACCTGACTGTATATGCAGATCTGTGTTTGTGCTGGAAGTGTTTAAATGTAATCTCTGTGGCACAGTTACAGACAGAAAAAGCTCACATTCATTTGCCTGCACCACAGTTTCAGAGTGTACGCACACGGCATAAATATTACTTTTGCTCTTTTATGGTCAGATACAACAATGAATGAGATGATCTGCCATCACTCTTATATCCGGAGTGCTGATGGAATAAAAATGTCCCAAACAATCATCGTTAACATTTTTATTAACATTTAAAAAAACAAACATAACACACAGCAGTAAATCAAAAATACATTTTTTTTTCCCAATGTGCTTGAAAAACTCTTATAAAAAAGGAATAACTCAAATCAAATTAGAATTTATTTTTAAATTCAGAATTGCAAAACAGGGATTTTGCATATGTGCACCTCTCTTCCAAGTCTATGTATTTTTTTTTTTTGGTTGACAGTTGTGGCTGCATAGTGAATTCATGAATGGTGAAGTAGGGGGCAGCAATGACTTTTAGGAGATACAGTACAGCTGAAGTACAGAAATCAGGAGGAATACATCAATGGCATTAAAAAAAAAAAAAAAAGCATAAATTCTGTATATGTGTGTATTGTCAATATATGATTTTTAATTTACAAACTGTTCTGAACAGACATCAGCTACATGTACATTACTGCCACACAGTCCTAACATCATTTGGTTAGTTCAGGAGACCAAAGTTAAAAGTATAACTAAAAAGGAAAAAAACTTGTGTTTTTTTTAGTTTTAGACAGTGAAGTGTGTAGAACACCTGTTTTTATTGCTACCTCTGTCGGCATTAGGGGGAAATATTCCAATGGGCACACTAGTTCTGGTGACCTGGGAGGGGGGGCAATGGAGTCCCTTAATTTGCAGGGATTTCCTCTCACTTCCTGTTTTGGTTATGGGAGAGGAAGTGAAGGTAAATCTCCCCATTAGGACACAGGTGGAAGAAAAAAAAGAAACTGCCATTGGTTATAACCCTTCCTTACTCCATCTAAAATGAAAAAAAGGTTCTACTTTAAAATGTTTCTACTGGGAACAAGATCCCATGAATGTCAATAGGTCTGTTTAAAAGGTCAGTCTCTGCAAACTGATACTTCAGGTTTTTTTGGTATATGTTGGAGAGTTAAATTGGTTGTAAATCCTTACATATAGCCAGTGAAGTGACTGGCCTCAGGGGATACACAGAGATGAAACAAATCCTCCTACATAAGTTGTACCCTTTCAACTGCATTCTTCTCTTCTCTAAATCCATTCAAAGTGCTAAATGTATTAAGCTTGTCCAGAGTTCATTAAAAAGTAGGAAGAAGACAGGCGAAATCACTCTGCAGTGCTCAGTGAGGAGAGCTCTGAATGCTGATTGGAGGGAAGGAACAGGAACAGAGCTGAGATGGTCATTCAGCTGGATGTCCCTCCCGTCACCATTTTTCTCTTGGTGTCAGGAACACTTGTCAGAAGTGATTCATGCTGATAGCAAAAGAAAGAGGCAGCAGACAGAAATTACACTTAGTGTTCTTAAATGAGACAAGTACACACTATAGAGGGCTATGCTTTGTTCATAATTCATGTCTGAGGTTTACAACCACTTTAAGTTACCTGATGGTTTTATGATATATGGTGTGGCCATAATTTTGTGAACACTTGACTATCACACTGCTGTTGGCCAACAGTATGTAGGCACCCCTATTGCCATGACAAAGTATTTTTTTTTTCTTAAACAGATACTAATACCCATGCATTAGCTGTTTTTTTCTAATAATTTCCTTCTATGAGCTTACTTTTTAAAACTGTCCACCGGCTGCACTGTCACATTTGCGTTCTACTTGTGTCCCCTATGGTGCAAGGACCAACGGAGCCCCTCTTCTAATTGTGCACTCAAGCTTTGAACTACAACTCTACGTGGAGCCGTTCACAGCTTTGTACTCACAGCCTCTGTCAGCCACTGCTGAGAGAAGGAGGGGTATGGATTTTGCTCTGGGTGTCCCTATCGTGCTGCCAGTGTGTGAGGTGCTCTGAATGGCTGCACTTACAGATGTTGTTCAAGGGGTATGCCCACACCTAGAGGACACTTCAATGGGAATTTATAGTTCCCGGCATCACAGGGGGAACAAACAATGCGAGTGCGGCAGTGCAACAGAGGGACAACTTAAAAAGTAAGCTCAAAAAGGAGGAAACAGCTAATGCATGCAAATTAGGATGTTAAGCAGAGCTCCACCCAAAAGGGGAAGTTCCGCTTTAAAGACTAGTCTCCCGCTCCCCATTAAAGGATTGGCAGCTTTTGGGAGCAGTTATCCAAAATTGACAGGTACCCGCCCCCACTGCAATCGCCTAGGCGATCGGAAGCGGTCCCCCCCCGTAGTCTTCTGGGTTACGTGACAAGTCCCAGAAGACTACAGAACCATTCAGAAAGCGCAGCACTACTCGCACATGCGCAGTGGGCACCCAGCTGTGAAGCCGCAAGCTGTCACAACCGGGTGCCCACACTGAAGATGCCAGTGCCGGGGACACCAAATAGCAGGTGAAATGGGCTGCAGGGGAGGGAGGAACTCCGAGGGATCAAAGGACAGATGAGTGGCTGTTTTTTTTTAGCTGCTGACTTTACTTTTTTTTTTTTTTTTTTTTTTTTTTTTTACAGTGATTGGAACTCTGCTTTAGCAACTGTTTTATTAGAAAAAAAACAAAAAACACTTTAATATCACTTTAGGTTCAGGTGTCTTTAGTGCAGGGTAATTTTAATATTTCAACAGAAAAATACATTGTAAGCTTCCACCATGGTGACAACAGTTTGATATAGGCCCTTTTTCTGTACCTCTGTGTACAAAACGATCTCCATAAACACATGGTTTGAGGAGTTTGGTATGGAGAAACCCAAGTAGACTGCACAGAGCCCTGACCCACCCACTAGTGAACACTTTTAGGATGAACTGGAATACTGATTGCGAGCCAGGTTTTCTTATCCAACATCAGTACCTGACCACACAGATGCTCTAATGGCTAAATGGGTCCACAGGTACACTCCAAATCCATGTACAATGCCAGCCAAGAAAGATGGAAGCTGCTATAAACCCCAAAGGAAGTGGAAGAGGAAGATTCCATATTAAATGACCATTGTTTTCAAATGGGAGGTCGAACAATCTCATCTAGGTCTGACGGTGGGGTGTGTAAAAACATTTGGCCATGTACTGTAACTCTGCTTGTATAACTTATAACACAGCACTTATGTTTGAGATGAACATCTAAAGGCCCACTTAAAATGGATCTATTTGTTTTCCTTTTACCATCAGCAGGCTGAATCATCTACTTTATCCATATATCTCCTTGGAACTCCAGTGGCAAGATTCCACATACCAAAGTCTACACCATGCTGCATCCATTATGAAGCCAAACGATCTGAGTGAGAACAGCTCTGCACTTTTAGCAAGTAGGAGAAGCTGAGGGGTGCAGAGAGGTTGGCGACTTAGTGAAATGGCAGTTTTGGAAAGACATACCCTTTAACAGGAGTCTGATCCATTTGGTAGTACTGACACTGTGTTACTAGAGCCACCTCCACGTCAGGTGCAATATTACAACAAATGACCAGCACTGTGCCCATATCCTCGGTGTGCTGGAACAACAACAGCCTGTAGGTTCTGTACTTTGTCTTTTTCCGTTGTAATGACAGTCTCTCTCTGTGATGTCGGGTAACTCAGCGCATTGGCCGAAATGGGAAAGCCATGCCAGGCATGAAGGTCTGCACAGGATGTCCCGGTAAGGGAGAGTGAGTGGGCAATGCTGCATGTGCCGGCAGTGCAGCATGAGCAGAGAGTGCCGTGTGTGCTGGAAGTGCTGCATGAGCCGGTAGCGTTGTTGTGAGCAGGAAGGGCTGTGTGCGTAGATAATGCAGCGTGAGCTGGTAGAGCTGGATGAGCTGGGAGTGTAGGGTAACCTAGAGGTGGGGTGTGAATATGAGGGTAATACGCAGATGTCAAAGTGGGGTGAGCAGGCTGAGGCTGAACCGGGCCAGAGATCACCAGCTGCATGAGGCTGAGGAAAAGAATAAACAGAAACGGTTAAAGCACAAAGTAATCCCTTTCATATTTTTTTCTTGCAACACACAGTGCATCCAGAAAGTATTCACAGCGCTTAACTTTTGCCACATTTTGTTATGTTACAGCCTTATTCCAAAATGGATTAAATTCATTTTTCCCCCTCAACATTCTACAAAACAATACCCCATAATGACAATGTGAAAGAAGTTAGTTCTGAAATCTTTGCAATTTATTAAAAAAACACACGTACATAAGTATTCATAGCCTTTGCTCAATACTTTGTTGAAGCCCCTTTAGCACCAATTACAGCCTCAAGTGGTTTGGAGTATGATGCTACAATCTTGGCACACCTATTTTTGGGCAATTTATCCCATTCTTCTTTGCAGTCCCTCTCAAGCTCCATCAGGTTGGATGGGGAGCGTCGGTGCACAGCCATTTTCAGACAGATCTCTCCAGAGAGGTTCAAGTCTGGGCCACTCCAGTACATTCACAGAGTTGGCCTGTAGCCACTCATTTTTTATGTGGGCTGTGTGCTTACAGTCATTGTCCTGTTGGAAGATGAACCGTCGCCCCAGTCTAAGGTCCAGAGCGCTCTGGAACAGGTTTTCATCCAGGATGTCTCTGTACATTGCTACATTCATCTTTCCTTTGATTCTGACTAGTCTCCCAGTTCCTGCCACTTAAAAACATCCCCACTGCATGATGCTGCCACCATCATGCTTCACTGTAGGGATGGTATTGGCCAGGTCGTGAGAGGTGCCTGGTTTCCTCCAGACATGATGCTTGGTATTCAGGCCAAAGAGTTCAATCTTTGTTTCATCAGACCAGAGAGTTTTGTTTCTCATGGTCTGACAGTCCCTCAGGTGCCATTTGGCAAACTCCAGGCGGGCTGCCATTTGACTTTTACTGAGGAGTGGCTTCCGTCTGGCCACTCTACCATACAGGCCTGATTGGTGGTGTACTGCAGAGATGGTTGTTCTTCTGGCAGGTTCTCCTCTCTCTTCAGAGAAACACTGGAGCTCTTTCATGACCATCAGATGCTTGGTTACCTCCCTGGCTAAGGCCCTTCTCTTTCGATCGCTCATTTTGGCCGGGCGGCCCGCTCTAGGAAGATTCCTGGTGGTTCCAAACTTCTTCCATTTATGGATGATGGAGGTCACTGTGCTCATTGGGACCTTCAATGATGCAGAAATTTTTCTGTACCCTTCCCCAGATCTATGCCTTGATACAATCCTGGCTCGGAGGTCTACGGACAATTCCTTGGATGTCATGGCTTGGTTTGTGCTCTGACATGCACTGTTAACTGTGGGACCGAATATAGACAGGTTTATGCCTTTCCTAATCATGTCCAATCAACTGAATTTCCCACAGGTGGACTCCAATCAAGTTGTGGAAACATCTCAAGGATGATCAGTGGGAACAGGATGCACCAGAGCTCAATTTGGAGTGTCATGGCAAAGGCTGTGAATACTTCTATACATGTGTTTTTTTTTTCATTTTATTTAATTGCAAAGATTTCAAAACAAACTTCACGTTGTCATTAAGGAGGTATTGTTTGTAGAATGCGGAAGAAAAAAAATGAATTTTAATCCATTTTAGAATAAAGCTGTAACATAACAAAATGTGGAAAAAGTTAAGCGCTGTGAATACTTTCAGGATGCATTGTATCTGCTGAATACCCTTTTATTCTGAGGGCTTGGCAGCCATTACTACACACAGGGAAACCCCTAAATTATTCTGTATTCAAAACAAACTGGCTCCTAGAATTTGTAATTGCCTGTTAAAACACTACACCTCACCCACCATAATGAGATAAGCAATGCAAGACCAGAAGCCTGAAACCTACAGCATGTAGGTCACATCTGACCCGCAGCTAGGGTCAGTGGCATATCCTCAATGTGCACTAACTGAGGTCAGCAGAGACTGCCAATGGCTCCCCGCTTCTGTTTGAAGGGGGAATCTGATGGAACTCCTGATGTAAGGGGGAACTACTAAGGCAGACTTTGAAGAAAGGGGGCCCCAATGGGGCTTTTTTGTGGCCCATGATCATATGTAAAATTTACAGTGTCGCCCTCCCACAGAAAAGTTTGGAGAGCCACTGATCTATAGAACCGGAGGAGGTTTGTGGACATGCAATCAAAAAAAAAGGAAGAAGAAGGAATAGAAAGAGTCTGAGCCAGTTTTAAAAGTACATTTCAATCACCCATGGGAGGTATGTATGATTGATTTTTCTGCCATGGTACTTATCCAAACAGATTCAAAAGTGGCCACCTAGCCATTAAAATTGCAGCTTATTCCACATACAAAACATGGAAATTCTGGGAGTGACGGTGATAATTAAAAGGGTTAATATGAGTTACTAACATGGAACAAGTATGCAGCAAGTGAAATCAGACTGGAATCTGCTCTGCATGCCAGTTTAGGGTGAGTAACTCAAAGCATATATACTATACAAAGGCACTGGCATTGACAGACAAGAAGTATTATAAGGTCATTAATGGTAGCTTCTCTATTGTCCAGGACAGATTCTGTTGATGCCAAACCAGGCCTCAACTCTGTTCTGCCGCTTTGGCACACCTGCCACCCCCTCTTCCCAAACATTTAATGCAGCGCCTCAGTTGCCACCATGGAATAATTCTAGATAACTGGACGAGGGCATGCCAAAACAAGTACAGCCTTTGTTGACAGATTTTTTTTTTACAAAAGGAGATTTATTAAGTAATTATGCTAATACTTACTTATTATGAGGGAGACGAGAACAGAGAGTCCTAAGGTCATCTAAAAAATAAAAATAAAGTAGGTTTTATACAGAAGAGATTTCATAAGCACATCAATATATGCAAAGACAACAGCTTACTGAAAGATATTTTATCCTATATACAGGTGAAACTCGAAAAATTAGAATATTGTGCAAAAGTTCATTTATTTCAGTAATGCAACTTAAAAGGTGAAACTAATATATGAGATAGACTCATTACATGCAAAGCAAGATAGTTCAAGCCGTGATTTTTCATCATTGTGATGATTATGGCTTACAGCTCATGAAAACCCCAAATCCAACAGACTCAGAAAATTAGAATATTACATGCAATCAATAAAACAAGGATTGTACATAGAACAATATCGGACCTCTGAAAAGTATAGGCATGCATATGTACTCAGTACTTGGTTTGGGCCCCTTTTGCAGCAATTACTGCCTCAATGCGGCGTTGCATGGAAGCTATCAGCCTGCGGCACTGCTGAGGTGTTATAGAAGACCAGGATGCTTCAATAGCGCCCTTCAGCTCTTCTGCATTGTTCGGTCTCATGTCTCTCATCTTTCTCTTGGCAATGCCCCATAGATCCTCTATGGGGTTCAGGTCAGGCGAGTTTGCTGGCCAATCAAGCACAGTAATCCCATGGTCTTTGAACCAGGTTTTGGTGCTTTTGGCAGTGTGGGCAGGTGCCAAGTCCTGCTGGAAAAAGAAGTCAGCATCCCCATAAAGCTCGTCTGCGGAAGGAAGCATGAAGTGCTCCAAAATCTCCTGGTAGACGGCTGCGTTGACCCTGGACTTAATGAAGCACAGTAGACCAACACCAGCAGATGACACGGCTCCCCAAATCAACACAAACTGTGGAAACTTCACACTGGACTTCACGCATCTTGCAGTGTGTGTGCCTCTCCATTCTTCCTCCATACTCTGGGTCCTTTGTTTCCAAATGAGATGCAAAAATTGCTCCTCTTCAGAAAAGAGGACTTTGGACCACTGAGCAACAGGCCAGGTTTGTTTTTCTTTAGCCCAGGTAAGACGCTTCTGACGTTTGTTGTTCAGGAGCGGCTTGAAAAGAGGAATACGACATTTGAAGCCCATGTCCAGGATTCGTCTGTGTGTGTGGCTCTTGATGCACTGACTCCAGCCTCAGTCCACTCCTTGTGAAAGTCCCCAACACTTTTGAATGGCCTTTTCCTGACAATCCTCTCCAGGCTGCGGTCATCCCTGCTGCTTGTGCACCTTTTTCTTCCACCCTTTTCCCTGCCAAATAACTTTCTATTAATGTGCTTTGATACAGCACTTTGGGAACATCCAACTTCTTTTGCAATTACCTTTTGAGGCTTTCCCTCCTTATGGAGGGTGTCAATGATGGTTTTCTGCACAACTGCCAGGTCAGCAGTCTTTCCCTTGATTGTGATTCCTACTGAACCAGCCTGAGAGACCATTTAAAGGCTCAGGAACCCTTTGCAGGTGTTATGGCTTAATTAGCTAATTAGAGTGGGACACTTTGAGCCGAGAATATTGCACCTTTTCACAAAATTCTCATTTTCTGAGATTGTGGATTTGGGGTTTTCATGAGCTGTAAGCCATAATCACCACAATTATGAGAAATCACAGCTTGAACTATCTTGCTTTGCATGTAATGAGTCTATCTCATATATTAGTTTCACCTTTTAAGTTGCATTACTGAAATAAATGAACTTTTGCACGATATTCTAATTTTTCGAGTTTCACCTGTACAGCGTAAAGTCCCCATTTTTTTTTTTTTTTATTTCCAACTGTTGTAAAAGTAAAACATGCAGCTCTCACTGCAATACTTCCTCTCTGGCACTGTCCCTTGAAGATTCACCTTCAGGCTAAGCCTGAACTGGAACAACAGCACTGTACCCATAGGTTTACCAATATAAAAGATTAAATGGCATTGCACACTCAAGCAACGAGCATCCAATATGTGCCACTACCAAATGACCATTATACTGCTGAACATTATAAAAAACTTGGCAGACATAGGGGTGAAAAGGTGGGCCATTTTCTAGGGATTTCATTATATTTTACTTTGTACTGAACAACGTTAACTGAACTATGCATTCTATTCATTTCTACAAGTAACTTTTACAGTGATCCACTATTGTAAGGAGAAACATGGCAAAGAAAAACCATCATTCCGTCTGGAATTATGCAAGAAATGCTGGTGACAACAAACAGATCTTGTCCACGCTTCCTCTCTTGTTTCTCTCTGTCAACTCAAGGTCTGCGGCCTGCCTCACTTCCTGTTGAAGCCCAATCTATACATCTCATAGAAACACTGGGGTTGACTTCCTAAAACTGAAGTGTGCAAAATCTGGTGCAGCTGTGCATAGAAACCAATCAGCTTCCAGGTTTTTTTTTTTTCAAGTCAAAGCTTAATTGGACAAGCTGAAGTTAGAAGTTGATACCATGCACAGCCGCCCCAGATTTTGCACTCTCCAGTTTTAGTAAATCAACCCCACTGTCTCACCCTGCTCTACTCTGTTTACAGAAAATTTAGAGACCAATCTGCTGACACCCTAAAGATTTCCTGCTGCTCAGGACTCTGGGCTTCAGCAAAATGGCAGCCTCCAGCAAGAAGAAACTGGAACAATTAAGGAGGCAATGTACAGTACACCAATTTTGGTAGCATATGTATTATTTGAAATGTATATTCCCTGCTAAAGAACATTATTTTTTATAATGTTGTTTTGGGTAAAGTTCTGCTTTAAGCACTGCTCGGTGCACCATCTAGCCCCAGCAGATGTCGGCCTCTCAAAGAATGACAGGCTGCTCGCAGCGGGGGTTGGACAATGCGCCTGTACCATCCACCTACAACTAAACGCCATAGCCTCATGCACCCAGGCTAAAAGCCCAGTGTGCATGAGGCCTTATCTATGTGGTTGTCATTAGTGTACTTTCATCCATAACTTACCACGAGAGCATATCAATGCCCCTGTTGCCATGGACACCTGTAACGCCTGGGCCAGCCGATCTAATGCCAATTCCATCTCTTGCTCAGCATTTAGAGGGTTAAGCTCTTCACAAAGCTGTCCTAATTCTTCAACTAGTGGTACAAGCTGCTCAAACAGCACAAGTGCCAAACGTCCATACAGTCCTTTCTCTGTAAGGTGAGTCTGAAGAACCATGAGTCCTTGCAGCACACTCAGATGGAGCTTGGAGTAAAGGTTCTGATTATCTCTAATTGGCTCTCCACCAGCTGCTTTCTGCTTGCGACTGTAGGCCAGAGGAGCAATTATACACCAGCGAACCATACCCATTAGTGGGGAGAAGTCCAAGAAGCCAATTGGCAAGTTAGCAGTGATGGGGGTATTGAGAAAGGTGATCAGAATCAGGCGAGGATCTTCAAAAATCCAGGATACGATCATTTCCAGAAGATCATGAGGGGGTAAGAGATCCTCTGCAACAAATCGGGAAAGAAAATATATGTCAAGGAAACTGAAATGGCTGCTCAAACTGATATCTATATCCTTTAGTTCAACTCAATATATAATTATACAATCATTGTAAAATCTGACTACAATGTATGTATTTTAGTAAGTTGGAGTGAGGTAGCCAATGGTCATTATCTTTTTTTTTAACAAAAACAACACACACCAGCCTCAGGGCTCTCATAGCGCTGAACACTCTCTTCCTGTCCGGACATGACAGTAAGAGGTGCCTGAATGGCCAATCACTAAACATCAGCACTGATTAGGGTGTCACATGCTCACCCTACATCTGGGAGTAGTGGGTATTTTATGTCACTTCTAGCTGACAACAGAAAAGTGGGAGAGCAAAGGCATGGCAAACATGGGCTGCTGGTGGTGCACACTGGATAGCAGTAAAATGAATTAGCGAAATCTTGCGTCTGATGCATAGTGGCAATTGTTCAGCCTGTACAAAGTAATAAACAGGAGGACAGCAGCCGATACTGTCCACATGTACCTGCATACCAAATGGTTACCTGCAGTTAGGGACGGATGTCTAACTTTGGACACCATCCAGGCTTGACACCCTTCTCCAACTGCAGGTAACAGTTTGTTGTGTGGCTACATGTGAACAGCGACAGCTCTTAGCCTGTCATTACTTAGCACAGGCTGATGGACGCTAGTATTCCAGCCACAAGAATCTCCAGATTTTTTCCACAGGAATCTGGTGTATGTGGGTAAATACCTGTGCGAAAGAGGTCCAAATCTTCCTTAGTGTGGCCAAGGAGACCTCCAAAAATACATTGACAAGCGTTTACACCAGAATGTCATACAGTCAAGTGGGAAACGGGTATAGCTGGGTGTGGTCACACACATGCAGGGATGGGAGGTACACAGGATTTAATATCATGAGATTTTGCTAGAGTGTACAAAAAAAAAAAAAAAAAAAAAAACTTTCACAGGTTCTCTGCACATACTCTGCTGTGACCACACAGTCCCGTCACTTCTGTGCCCATATAGATTGCTATCTCCTCCCAGATGATAGTCGGGACACTTTTGTTTGGCTGTTTTCCAGACATTTTGAGTTTACGTCTCTTTTAAAAAAAAAAAAAAAAAAAATTTAAAAGGTTTGGGAGAGGTGCATGCCATTCTACATGCGATTACACCGTGATAGGCTACCTGTTGATTTCTACATGCGTGTACAGTTTTCATAGTCTATACCTAAAATCTGCCTATGATGGCTCGTCCCATCAAATAAGCTGTATTTTTTTTTACCAGTTTATGTTTGCCGACTACAAACTTAATGCCTTGGCATGTACTCCCTTGACCTATAAATAAAGAATTAAAAAAAATAAATGCTACCTCCTGCAGCCAAAGCAGAACTGCACCTTTTACTCGCCTCCATACAGCCACATCATACCCTCTTTGTCTGCAGTTATCAACCCCTCACCTGCATCCTGGGGTGTATTTACCACAAGGCAAAGAAGGCATTTGCCTAGGGCGGCATTTTTCAAGGGGGAGCAGCACTGCCCCTCAGAAGAAGGGACACACGTGGCATGGGGACCTGGTAGGTTCTGAGAGAGAGGCTGGGGGTTTCATGATGGTGTATGCACAGCCCGACTCTCGTTCCCAGGGATGTCCAGAGCTGTGAAGATGAGTGTCTTTCACTCTCTCGCCATGGGGGATGGTGGCTGGTGTATAGAGGGCAGTGGTAGTGGAAGGCTTTCTTGGGTGGGAGGCAGGGGTGTTGTTGCTCAATGGCAGGCTCTCTTTGTGGGGGGGGGGGGGGGGGGGGGGGGGGGGGGCGATTTCTGTGTTGCCTAGGGCAGCACAAAACCTAAATACACCACTGCCTGCATCCACTATAGTGAAAATAGAAACTGACCACCATCTGGAATGCGGGAGTTTGACCCTAGTTGTGGTGAAGCCTGATGTTTGACAGCAGCGAGGTTGGGAAAAAAAAACAAAAGAAAAAGAGAAGAAGGAGGGGAGGCCTCAGTCTGTATCTGGGACTGAATGGCCTGAACAAGTGCTTGTTGAGCTCAACAGCTGGACAGCGGCTAGTTGCCCAAAGCCACTGTACAGAAATCACACACAGTCAAGCATTTTCACTTACCTAAACCATTTTGGTTATACAAATCTAACAGAAGAAGTATATATACAAAACTACATTGATAAAGGACTCTCACCTGTGGACATGTCATAGAATGCAGCTACAGCAGTGATAAACTGACAGCAGAAGCGGGGGCTGACATTGAAGATCTGTTTCAGCGTCTGGATGGAGCCTGGCACCAGGCCACAATAGTCATCTACCAGAGCTTTGGCCAAGCGGACACAGTAAACAGCTGGAGTACGCTGCCAATCAATTGGGAGGAGAAGGAAAACCAAGTTAGAGTTGTAAATTTCACAACCTAAGAAATGCAGTTATTACATATCAAATTCCAATGCGGGAATGTCATCACTTTAAAAAACAACTAAAGACCTCATGTGACACAGGTCTTGTGTTGCAACACCAGACACGGAGCCTCAGGCCTAAAAATTGGGGAGGACCTGAAGTAGTGGAGCCATTTCCCACTAAAAACAAGGAACAAAAACAGCAATAAAATCACTAAAAAGGATAACTGTTGGGGTCCCTCAAGGCTCCGTCCTCGGGCCCCTTCTCTTCTCCATCTACACCTCCTCCCTTGGCCAACTCATACACTCTCACGGCTTCATCTACCACCTCTATGCCGACGACACACAAATCTATCTCTCAACCCCCCACCTCACCCCCTCGGTCTCCGCCCGAATCACACACCTACTGAGTGACATATCAGACTGGATGTCGCTCCACTTCCTTAAACTGAACCTCTCCAAGACCGAGTTTCTTGTCTTCCCCCAAGCCCGGACACCACCCCCCATTGACTTCTCCATCATGTCCAACCACGCCACCATCAAACCCGCCCCGCAGGCCAGAGTACTTGGTGTCATTCTGGACTCCAACCTATCCTTCCAGCCCCAAGTCCAATCTTTAACAAACTCGTGCAGACTCCACCTCCGCAACATCGCCAAAATCTGCACGTTCCTAACCCCAGAAACCACTAAACAGCTCATCCACTCCCTCATCATATCACGACTCGACTACTGCAACTCCCTCCTCACTGGCCTGCCTCGCCGCTGGCTATCCCCGCTTCAGTCGATCCTGAATACGGCTGCCAGACTGATTCACCTTTCCAACCGCTCCATTTCCGCCACCCCCCTCTGCCAATCCCTCCACTGGCTTCCGATTGCGCAACGGATCAAATTCAAAATCCTAACACTGACGTACAAAGCTGTCCAACATACTGCCCCGAACTACATCACTGACCTAATATCCAAGTACCGCCCAGCACGCACACTCCGCTCCTCACAAGACCTCCTTCTCTCTAGTTCCCTGGTCTCCTCCTCCCATGCCCGCCTCCAGGACGTCTCCAGGGTGTCACCCATCCTCTGGAACTCCCTGCCCCAACCCATCAGATTATCACCTACTCTCCTCTCCTTTAGGCGCACCCTGAAAACCAATCTTTTCAGGGAAGCCTACCCCACCCCCTGCTAACTTGCCGACCTCCTCCACCCTTCCTACCACTCCATCCCCCACAGCCATCTCCTCCTGTGCCACCATCCCCTCCCTCCTAGATTGTAAGCTCCAAGGAGCAGGGCCCTCGAACCCCTCATGTTTTGCATTGTATTGTTATTGTTCTATCACATGTTCTGTCCCCCTTTGTAATGTACAGCACTGAGCGAACTATGGGCGCTTTATAAATACTGTATAATAATAAATAACTGAAAAGAAATCTTCAGGAATTTAAAATAAAAATATTGACAGGACATCTATTCCTTTCCCATTGCTCAAAAACTTAACATGGAAGAAAAAAAGATTTAAAATTGCCAAAGCTTTAATTTTTGCAGATTCACCATAGCGGATTACCTGCAACCAGGAAGCAGCGCTCTCCAGCACAGGCACCCTGCATACCGCCACTGCCATAGAGGTCAGTTTTCCTAGCAGAGCCATACGCTGCTCATCCCCTTTATTTCCCTGTGGGCTGAATAGAGAGTTGAAGATGACTTGCCGGACTGGCTCCTTGGTTTGTTCCTGGAAGTAATTGCACAGGATCTCCAACAACTGCAGCTCTTGTATGGCACCAAGTCGCTGGAAAGAAATGGAATAAACAAGATTTGATAAAACTGGCAGTTCATATACACAGTCCAACTGAAAATGTAACACAAACAAAGGCTGATGTACTATTTTAGAGAAAGTGAACAATTTGCTACATTGCACAACCACAATGCAATAAAGATCTAAATGGAAATGCAGAAAATGAATCGGGAAAAAAAAAACAAAATACTGTTTCTGTAGTGTGAAAAGTACAACTTCTAGGCAGTTTAGAGATGTTGGTCTATAAAAATCCTGCTTCTTGCTTTGATATCTGGCAAATCCAACTTCCGAAAACAAACGGTGCCTCTTATTAGAAAAGCAGTACAGCCAATTAAACATGCAGAGATGCACATAGGGCCCTAGGGCACATTCACATGAGCACCAAATGGAAGTGGTCATTGTGCCTTTGTCATATCTGTCAAGTGTCCCGAAGATGCTTCTACACCTTCCCGTTTTGGCCCTCTGAGGTGATCAGAGAAAAGCTGGAGCGGGAGGTATGAAAACTGACAACCTATTGGGTGCCCTATGATCAGCCACTTGTGTGTTCGAATCTTCAGTTTAGGAACCTGTGTTTGTCACTCCACCTCAGGCAGCTGAGTCATGACTTTACTGACCCCAACTGCCCACCTAAAATACAGAAATGTCATTGCTCAGGGCTGTAAACATGCCAAGGCTTCACTGTTTTGCTTCATGGCCGGAGGAAAAATGAACAGGTACCACTGCAGAACACGATGGCTTCAAATAAAGGGGCTATGCCACAACTGCCCTCCAGCCATAAGAAACATGCGCACTTGCAGCAGATGGATCAGTATTCTGAGGGTTTAAGGATGAGTTCACCTTTAAAAATAAATAAATGCATATCTTTTTTGTAGGTAAAAAAAATATGCATTTATATTTTTTTTACCGAGAGCCTAGAAAGCACCGCAGCCGTGATCAGCAGATCACGGGTGTCATGCAGGACTCCTGCAGACTTGTCAGTGTGTCTGTCTGTCCGCACCTCATACAGCCAGGCAGATACACACTGACAGGAAGAGATAATTATGTTCAACAGCGCCGTGGTAGTTCAAAACTACAAACCAACAGTAGCAAAGACTGTCGGCACTTGGTTCACATTCACAGGATACTATGAATGAACGATGCAGCCGGGCAGGTGTGTGTTTTTTTTTTTTTTTACTTAAAGTGACAGCTAATGGGGTGGGGAAATATCCCCCACTAGCTGTCAATAGATGTAGCAGAGCGAGCAGCGACTCACTGAGCACGAACATTTTACATGTTCCACCCTAAAAATGGGTGGAAAATGTAACATGTTCCCAAAGGTGAATAAATCCTTTAAAACAGGAGGTGAGGAGGTGACATTCATGGAGGACAGCTTTACACAGTTGCACGTGTGCACAAGACCTAAATGCACATGTGTAATTGTCTACTTGGGAGAAACATTACATTTGCGCACATTTGGAAACAAAGTGGTCAGTAAGTTTTCAATGGAGATCCAAACAGCTCTGGTGTTATAATCTTCAGGACCGATTTTCTTTTGGACCACACCACATTAAAGTGGAAGATGAGGCTTAAAAATGCTGCCTTTCCCTCCCTCTGTATAGCTTTTTTAACCGCCTCTTGCCTGCCATATAAGGAAATGACAGGTACAAGGCGGTTCTCTTGTTTTTATGACGTCCTCCCACACTAACTGCACGTGCGCGGATCTGGGGGCGCGCAGCGCGGCAATCGGTGGTGCCACAGCGGATCACCAATCAGTGGAAAGAGCCGAAGACGTCAGATTGGTCATGTGATCAGCTGTGTTCAATCACAGCTGATCGCATGTAAATAAGGAAATGCCGGTTATCAGCATTTCTCTCCTCATGAGCTGTCACGCTGACAGAGGAGAGGAAAGCCGGTAATCAGCATTCCATGAAGGGGACATGTACATTGATCATCAGAGCACTGATGATCAGTGTGCCATGATGATCAGTGTAGCCCCAGCAGTGCCACCTGTCAGTGTCCATCAATGCCAGCTGTCAATGCACATCAACGCCACCTGCCAGTGCCACATCAATGCTACATATCAGTGCCTACCAGTGCACATCAATACCACATATCAGTGCCCATCTCAGCTGCCTTTAAGTGCTGCCTATCAGCGCACATCAGTGAAGGAGAAAAATCACTTATTTACAAAATTGTATAACAAAAACTAAAAAAGTTTTTGTTTTTTTTTAGCAAAAAATAAAAAACCCAGGAGGTGATTAAATACTACTAAAAGAAAGCGCTATCATGTCTAAAAAAAAAAATGATAAAAATTTCATATGAGTACAGTGTTGCATGACCGTGCAATTGTCATTCAAAGTGTGACAGTGCTGAAAGCTGAAAATTGGCCTGGGCAGGAAGGGGGTATAAGTGCCCGGTGGGCTAGTGGTTAAACCCACTTCTGTGTGGTCATGGGATCTGTGTAAGAGAGCAGCTGCTGCAGGAAATATTGTGGACAATGAAGGGGCTATGAGTGCTTGCGGGTGAGGTCAAAGCCCCAGGAATTTGGAGCCATTGACGAGCGCTCCCTTATACAGGGGAGCCAGAGCTGCTGGTTTCATGGGACTGCACTGAAGTGGATTAAGAAAAAAAAAAAAAAAAAAGTATTCACATTTTATCTTTTGCAGCACAGATAGGTTAGGAGTATAGTTAACCTTTACTACCACTTTACCAATAATCAAATACACTCCTAGAAAGGATTCTGCATACTACAGATTACTGTGACTGTGCGTCAGATGCCAGACATACCTTGCCATGTGAACTGCGGTCCTTAGGTATTTGGAAGATAAACTCTTCAAGCAGTTCAATAGGACCTTTCTCGACCAGCGGCACAGGAGCGTTCTGGAGCTGGCTGCTGAAATAGATATCCAGGTGGTACAAGACCTCCTTTGCTGCGCTAAGAGCATCACGCCGCAGGAGAGAATGGCGAATGTCACTCATCATGCCCCTAGAAAGTAAAGCAAACATCCTTGTTATAACATAGCTTCCACATTGGCCAGCAAGTAGAGGATACTACTGGCCTTGTTCAGTAATAATTTACAGAGTACGATGAACAATGAGACGCTCTGCGGTCAGCCTGTGTATGACTGGGAACAGGTTTTCCTGCACTTTGTATCTACAGCAACATTTTTGTTGAATCTTGCAGAACATTAGTGTAACTTTCATCTAAAAGAAACAATCTGGAATGTTTACATCTATATGGTAGAGTGGGTAGAAATCCTTATGGTGAACATTTCATCACTACCTATAATATCTGCTGAGTTTCAAACCTGATTCTTCTATGTTTTGCACATTTAGTACAGGCAGCACAGTGGTTCCAACTTCAGCCTTGCAGCATTGAGGTCAAAGTTTTATTAGTCATACATCACTTGCCCATTATCAACTGACAGTGCAGAGCCGCACCAAGCTTGGGAAGGATCCTGACAATAACGTCAGGATCCTGACAATGGGCAGCACAGTGGCTAAATGGTTAGCCCTTCCCACTGGCAGTACTCAGGTCGTTAGTTCGAATCCCAACCACGCACCACCTGCCTGGAGTTTGCATGTTCTCCCTGTGCCTGCGTGGGTTTCCTCTAGGTACTCCAGTTTCCTACCACACTCCAAAGACATGCTGGTAGGTGAATTGGCTCCTGTCTAAATTGGCCCTAATATGTGTATGTATGAATGTGAGTTAGGGACTTTACATTGTACGCCCCTTGAAGGTTAGGGACTGATGTGAATGTACAATATATATGTAAAGCGCTGTGTAAATTGATGGTGCTATACAAGTACCTGAAATAAATGTCAGGATCCTGACAATAACGTCAGGATCCAGTTGGCTGCCTGACAGCTAGCTCTGCCTTTCAGGGAGCCAGCTAAAACCACCCTCTCCCCAGCCTGGCGCTCCAAGGAGCACTGAAGGAGCAGAGACAGACAGTCACTGTTTTCCACTTGGAGCAGTCTGGGAACTGAGTGATTAGCGGTCATCTGATCACTCAGTTCTTGGTCTTAGAGCCGGCGTGGGACAGATCCTGCAACATGGAGGCGAGTATAGATTTTTGTTTCTTTTAAAAACCCATACTTCTCCTTTAATCCTGACCAGGACATGATCAGCATGGAGTTTGCATGTTCCACCTATGTTTGGTGGGTTTCCTCTCACAGACATGCTGGCAGGTTAATTGGCTCCTGTCTAAATTGGCAATTGTGTAGCCTACACAGCTGATTTCAAATCTAACAGCTGCTGCAAGGGAGCAGAACCCCTGTCATAGGACAGAGAGTTTTGGGGGGGGGGGGGGTGCTGCTCGGCACCATGCTACTTCCTAAATAAGGGTGTAACATGGTCATAAAAGCTATGCTCCCACATACAGGTGTGACTGAGCTCAAGCACGTCCACACATCACATGTAGGGCAGCTCATTCTTTTCAATGGGCTGCCATACGTGTGAGAAACACAGAAAAGAAGCCCCTGACCCTTTTCCAAAAAACGCTCTGCGCCAAAAGGCATAGTGGTTTGGCACGTGCACATTAGCAGATATATGGGGGTGCCATTAATAACGAAAGGTACAGCTGTTCTGTGCGCGCCAAGAAAGCGCACAATTTTGCACATGTTCCAGACGTGTAAAAGTGTGAAGCTAGCATAAAAGTGGAGCTAGCCTTTGGCTCTGTTCACCCCTATTCAGGTGTGAGGGTGCAATCATGTTTTTGCACGGCATGTTTGGAGCAGCACATTCATTTTAATGGGTTGCTCTAGTAAGAAAATTGCACCAAAGTGCAAAACACCATTTTTTTGTTCTTTGCTGTTGCACCACAACACATGGTACTTTGTTCCTTAGCAAGGTGCTATTAAAAACGAATGGCGGTGCTTCGCCTGCAAAAGGAATACACTCTTATATGTTGTGGGAAATTGCAGAATTTTGCGTGCATTCCTGCATTGCACCTGGCCTTAACCACTTTAAGATCGCCTGCCTGCATTGTACTGCGGACCGCCGGCTCCTAAAGTCACAACGTCGTACCTGTACATCGCTGTCTTCTTCCGGAATTAGGGTGTGTGCGTGCCCCCCCTCATCATTAAACACAGCGCGATTTTGTCAGCAGGTCTCGGCTAATGATTCATGGCCAAGACCTGCTGATCGGCTGTGTCCAATCACAATCCGAGCCCTGTGTTGACAAATACACAGGGCTCTGTACAGAGGGAACAATCTGTTTGTTTCTAAACAGATTTTTTTGTACAAAGGAGCACACATTACCACTTGTAAGGCACACTCTTAACCCCTTGATTACCCCGATATGTTAAAGCGGAGTTCCGCTCACCCTGTCAAAAAAACAAAAGTCAGCAGCTACAAAAACTGTAGCTGTTGACTTTTAAAAAACAGCCACTTACCTGTCCCTCGTTGTGTCCCCCCAGCCCGTTTCACCGGCCGTCCTTTATTCCTGGAGGCCAGCATCTTTAGTGTGGGCACCCGGCTGTGACTGCTTGCGGCTTTACAGCCAGGTACCCACTGCGCATGCACTTCATAAACAGTCTGTAGTCTTCTGGGACCTGTCACGAGTCCCAAAAGACTACAGGGAGAGAGGACACCTTCCGTTTCCGATCACCTAGGCGATCGGACAGGAAGTGGGAGCGGGTACCTGTCAAATCCCCCCCACCCGCTCCCCAAAGGTGCCAATCCTTAATGGGGAGCAGTCCCTTAAAGCGGAATTTCCTCTTTTGGGTGGAGCTCCGCTTTAAACCCCTTCCCAGCCAGTGTCATTAGTACAGTAACAATGTATATTAATAGCACTGATCACTGTACTAGTGTCACTGGTTGGGTTACGATGGGCAATCTGACACTGGGTGGGACGCGACTGGTTGTCGGTCAGTTCTCACTCAAGTGTCAGACTGCCCATCGCACTTTCGCAATCCCACTAAAACTCCCTGATCCCCGCCATTACTAGTATAAAAAAAAAAAAAAACTTAAATTTCAGTATCTATACCATAGTTTGTAGCTGCTATAACATTTAAACAAACCAATTATTTATACATTTATTGTAGCAGAACACATTTTGGCCTAAATTTATGAAGAAATTAGATTTTTTTTTTAACGAATATATTTTATAGCAGAGACTAAAATTTTTTTTCATAATTTTTGGTCTTTTTTTCCTTTATATTAATAAAAAGCCCAGTGGTGATCAAATACCACCAAAAGAAAGCTCTATTTGTGTGAATAAAAAAAAAAATGATATAAATCTCATTTGGGTACGATGTTGCATGACCGCACAATTGCCAATTAAAGAAGTGAAGAGAGGAACAGCAAAAATAGCCCAGTTATGAAAGGGGTAAAACCCTCGAAGCTGAAGTGGTTAACATTTGACAGATTTTAACCTAACCCTGCCCCCACACATATACACCCCCCCACCTGGATGGATGGTAGAGTTGCCACCTCATCCCTATAAAATCGAACACGTTAATTAAACGGTTCTGGGTCTAATTTAACCGCTTCCCGCCCACCCTATAGCAGAAATACTGCTACAGGGCGGCATGGGTGCGCAAAATCACACACATATCTATCTATATACACGCACACACATACACGTGATTTTGTATTTCTGTTTAGGGGGCAGGCACGCCCTACCCGCGCTGCCAATCACCAGGTCCCAGCTTGTAATTACTTGCCGGCACCCGTTGATTTCCAAAGATCTCTGACGGGGAAGAAGACTGTTTTGTTTACTAACAGTCCTCCCTGTCAGCTTGGGCACACTGCACAGCACAACCATCCAAAGCAGTTTGCTTATAGTGAAGTACACTGACACCGCCCCCCCTAGTAAAACACTCCCTACACACAGTTAACCTTTTGATCGCCACTCATGTTAACCCCTTCCTGCCCAATGCCATTAGTACAGTGTCAGTGCCAAGTCAGTTCCCCCCAGTGTCAGAATGTCCGCTGCAGTCCCGCTATAAGTCGCTGCTCGCCGCCATTACTAGTAAAAATAAATTCCAGTATATATCGCCATTTGTAAACTTTCACATAAACCAATTAATTTACGCATATTGGGATTTTTTTTTTGTAGCAAAGACATGTTGCAGAATATATTTTGGTATACATTTATGACGAAATTTGATTTTTTAAAATGTTTTCACTGGACATATTTAATAGCAAAAAGTCAAAAATAATGTTTTTTTTTTTTCCAAAATTGTCGGTCTTTTTTTTTTTTAATAGCACAAAAAATAAGAAGCGCAGGCGATCAAATACTACCGAAAAGAAAGCCCAATTCATGGGGGGGGGGGAAGAAAAAAAAAAAAAAAAAGACAAATTTCATTTGGGTGCAGTGTTGCATGACTGCGCAACTTTAAGTTAAAGTAGTGCAGCGCTGTAACGCAAAAAATGGGCTGGTCAGGAAGGGGAAGTGTGGGGTGGAATCCTCTGGAGGGCAAGTGGTTAATGTAGAGAAGACACTAAGGCTGGCCATACACTACACAATGTCCTGTCCAATTACCTTTAGATTTACCTTCAACTATGTAGTACAAGGGCCCGCCTAATTGGAAATAATTGAAAGAGTTGTTAGTTTTGACCTCCTATTATATGGTTTTTGGTAAATCTAAACCAAAAACCTCAAGAAAATTGTATAATGTATGGCCAGCCTCACCCTAGGTTCACATCCGTGCAGCCGCACCACCCACCGCACAGAGGAATGCACACCCATGGGCGGGTGCCATTAGTTCTAATGGCATGCCTCCCGCACTGAAAAACGCAACCATACTGGGAACCAAGGTTCCAATGTTTTCCAAAGTAGTGCAGGGACTTCTTTCCCTGCGTGTCACAGGCACGGGGGTCCATTCAAATGAATGGGCTCTCGTGCCCGTGCAAAACACGGCCCGCACGGACGCATAGATGTGAACCGGGGACAAATGAGTTTAATGACCACCGTAACCAGCCACAGAATCTGTGTAATGTGTTCAGTTTTAAATGGATGAGGTGGCAACCC